GATAAGCAATTTAACCAAGACCAAGGAGCTAGTAAGTGACACAGTTGGATTGTGAACCCTAATCTAATCCCTCTAATTCTAAGGCCCACGCTATTATCACCAGGCTATACTGTCTCTTTTTATTTGACTCAAATGACGCAGAACTGCCAGATTAACTTTCCTAATGTATTTCACCCTGTCACTTTTCTAATTAGGTACCTCGAAGAGTTCCCTATTATTAACAAATTCAAATCATTCTATCCTTTACCCCTAACTGCCTATCACAGTTCAGCCTACAATACAAGTTTAATATATAGTCTCAACTAATTCAACTCATATTATTGAATGATGAATAAATAGATGAGAAAACTTCTATTGTGTTGATAATCTATATTAGACGGTAAGATCTTAATACTTTCTTTAGTATTTCCCACATCACCTATCTTAATGCATAGCATACACTGAATAAAAAACACTTATTAAAACCTGTAATACACATATAAGCACTATCAGCTTTTAATCTCCCCACAGATAACATTATGCCTCTAGGCCAAAGGAATATTAAAACTCAGCAACGTCTATGTGTGTGTATGTAAAATACTTTATTTCATTTTAAAGATGAAAGAACTAAAACATCTTAAAGGTTGCACATATTATATAAGCCCATTTATATAAAATTGTATGTATGTATCTCTGTGTTTATATACTGAGAAAGCTGTCTAGAAAGATGTTCAGATGACTTTTACTTTTTTGTCTGAACTTTTCATTTTGTTGTAACTAATTAGTATGTAATTTTTTAAAATAACAAAGCTACTTAAGCTACTGTAAGAAATAATTCTTTTTGAATCCTCAACAGAAAAGGGATTAATCAAACAAGTAACTGTTATGTCATTTACTGAAAAATTCTGCCAACAGAACAACTGTTCCATGCTGGCTTCCAGAATGGCCCATGTTCCTCCATATACATTTCTAATTCCCCAAAATCAAGCTTTCTAAAAAAATAATAAAATGTCAAATACCCTCCTCCAATGTCTTTTTAAACAAGCTCTAGGACTATACCACAGCAACCGAGACTCAAAAAATTAATTTTAAATTGAAAAGTTCTATGGTATTTTCTTGTCCTCAGGTCAGAAAGTCAACTGCATCTGAATTGTCTACAATGGCATGTATCTGACAAAGATTAATTTAAAACAGATGTCTCTGAAACCAATCCATTGAACAGTTTTACATCCCATCAGCTATGTGAAAGCATCTCTTGCTGCAGCTCTGCTGACTATTACACTTTTTTCAGAAATAGTTCAGTCTATTTTTGTAAGATAGAAGGCCATATTATTATATTCTATAACCCCATAAGGATCACGAAAGTGCAAAATTATAATTATAAAGAAATAAAGCACTGATTGAAGGGGCTTTATAAGAACGAACATTAACCAATACTACCAGGAAAAATGCTGAGGGGATAATGTATGGAAAATATCACCATAACCAATTTTTGTTAATTATGAATAATTCAACAAATACACTTTAAAAGAAATTTAACCAACTATCTAGCAAATAATTTAAGCAAAATTTCTGCACAACTAAAAGAAATTATAATTGTTTCCATAACACAAAAAAGTAAAAGATATTTGGGAGTTAAATGAGGCTATTCAAGTAACACTACCTTCTTCACTCACCTGCTGCTTCAAAGAATCATAAATTTCATTATACGAATTTTTCAGCCTAAAATTTATTTCCAAAATCTGCCCAAATTTATAATATCCAAAATGCAGGGGAACATCTATTCATATTATAAAATACTTGTATGTGTGTATTCAGATTTAATATATTCAAATTAAAGGAAAGATGATCCATTCAACTTGAAGCCAAAATGTAACCCAAATAGCTGTGAAAATGAACAAACAGGATTCTGTTTGGGGGCTACCCTATACTATGTTTTAACTATATTTGTTGAGCAAATATTAATAGTTGTACTTCCCTCTCAGAAAAGTTAATCAGTCCAAAAAAGGAGATAACATGCCAACTTCAGTTGTAATAAACAGCAAATATGTTGGCTAAAAGCAACATTATAATAACTGAAGGACCCAGCACCAAACTAGTATTACAAATATATTCTTAGTGTAGTGAGCTTAAATGAACAAAATACGTTCTTTAAAAAATTAAATATTTTACTATGCAGAACACTGGGGAAAAAAAGCTAATTTACAGTTCTGTAGCAAATTTACGACATGTGATCTTAGACAAGTCACTACTAACATCAGTGCAGAACTTTATACTTCAGCAAGCACTTCAGATACATTACTTCCTGCAGCTGAACTGGGGGAAAATATCCTCCCATAAAATGAGCTACAAAAATTGCTGCCCACCTTCTTCTCCCACAGCATGCCCTTAAAATCTTCCCAGAACCTCCATGAGCACAGGGTTTAGAGCAGTTAGCAAATGAACCACATACCTAGATTACAATCATAAAGGAAACCATTCTCAAAATGAGTTTTATAAACCATTCATCAATAAAAACTTCAAAATGTTCTTTTTTCTTCCTTCTACTGCTTTTCCAACAAATTCCATAATATAATGAAAACTGAAAATATCTAAATTGCTACTCGTAAATCATAAAGGCAATTAAAAATACGGCGAATAAAATCAACAATATATTCCCCATTTATGAAGTTACCTGTTTTGTTTTTCTATCTATTACTGCAAAATGAATTATTTCCTTGGTTTAAATCGCTAATTTAAACCATTATATATTACTGGAGAAAAAGCTAATCTTATAAGACTATATAATAGGTTCATGATATTAATTTAATATACTAGGCTCAACAATAATTATTGTTCTAGTACAGCACTAGCTAGATAGCTTTTTTTAAGTCTATGTATTAAAGATGTGAGATAATGTAGAAGGCAAGAATGGGTGTTATTAAAAGCAATAAAGATTTCTCATAGTCTACATACAAAACACTATGTCTTGAATTTTCTTACTTATGGACAGGAAAGGAAAAATAATTTCAGTATATAATGTCTTCATTTAACTGATTTGATTGCCCTTCTTTTGGACTTAAGTTGTCCATTTTATTTTTCACTATGCATAACTGAATCTAGAATAATGATTAAGATTTTGGACACAGGTACCAGATTGCCTGGGTTCTAAACTCAGCGCTGCTACTTAACTAGTTATGTGAACTTGGACAAATTTCTTGGGTAGGTATCATTTCTTCATCTGTAAAACTGGAATAATAAAAGCACATACCTCAAAAGACTGTTGTAAGAATTAAATAAGTTAAAACATGTTGAATATTTAGCACAGTGCTGGCACACAGTAAATGCTTACTATATACATATTAGCTATTAATATTACTGTCATTGCCATTGTTATACAAAATAAGTGAGATTATATTAAACACCAATATTTACAAAGCTTTAAAAATCAGAAGACTGTAAGTTTATAGAACCAAGAAAGACATATTTTTATTTCAAAACTTTAGCTTGTCATTTGAATAATAACCAAGTATCATTTAAAATAAATGATGATTATGTTTGTACTATTGATAATTTAACCTTTAAATGAACCTGAAATAAAATTAAAATATTAAAATGATTCTTATTCAAGTAACTTTGGAGATTTGAAATGTAAGCTAAGAAACGAAAAATATTCTTAAACGGCTCAAAGTAGATAAGTACTAGGGAACTGTCACTGTTAAATAAACTTTGTACAAGACTAAATATCATATTTATTCCTTGTTATTTTGAAATAATTCCAAACTTGCAAAACAGTTACAATGACAATTCAAATAACTTTTTGGATGGGGAAATATTTTCTAATTTTTTCCCAACTTTATTGAAGTATAATTGACAAATAAAAATTATGTATATTTAGACAACCTGATGATTTAATACACACATACATTGTGAAATGCTCACCACAATCTAGCTAATTAACGTATCTATCACCTTGCATAGTACTATCTGTGCGCACACACGTGTGTGTATGTGTGCGTGTGCATATGTATGGTAATAACACTTAAGGTCTACTGCCTTAGCAAATTTAATAATGGTTTACTAATGGTTAATAATAGAGTATTATTAACCGTAATCACTATGCTGTATATTAGGTCCCTAAAACTTACTCATTCTGTAACTGAAAGTTTGTATCCCTTGATCAACATCTCCATGTTCCCTCATTCCCTAGACTCTGGTTTTATGAGCCTGACTTTTTTAGACTCCCAAATAATCCATGGGGCCATCTGAGAGTAAGTTGCTGGGCTCTAACACTCCCTTTAGACTTGGTGCTGCTAGTTTCCCTACTTTCCTGTCTCACTTCCTTTTCTCTCTTGCTTCTTGAAGGTCTGGACTGAATTTTTCAGGAAAGGGAGGCAGAAGAGAGAGATGATTAAAGTTTCAGAGACTAGAGAGAAGAAGAAAGTGGAAGAGCAAATATCATTTTATGATATCTTACAATCAGCTATTTTGCTATACTACAATTCCTTATGTTCCCCCAAACTATCCTGAAAATAGAAAATAAAGAGTACAGAAAAATAATAGGAAAGAAAAAGGAATATGACACTGGATAAGAAAAAAAACATTTTTTTAAATGTATTAAATCTTTGTTCTTACTTTACTTTATGCTTCCAGCCATTAAGAGTTGTCATAGACTATAACAAAGCTATGGACTATGGCTAACCTCTTTTTCTCATTTTATAATCGAAAAAACCATATCATGCACCTGGGGATTTTAAGGTACTTAAGTTTGGAGGCTATGTAGAACAGCAACAGCAAAAGAAAACTCCTATAATCCTACAATCCCTACAACCCAGACTGTAAAATCAATGTTTAAAGTTCAAGAGGGATATGCAAAATATACCTTGAATAGCAAAACACTTCCCAGTTCTGAACTAGTTAAATGAGAAATAGGAGCCAGAGGCTATTCTCCTGGCCCTTTCTATAAGGCAATTTAGGGAGACTGAGCAATCAGTTGCCACTGGATGCTAAATGGTAACCAGCTCTATAACACACCTTTATATTACCTCTCCCTCGTTTCCTATCTCACTTCCTTTTCTTTCACTTTTGCTTCCCTAGGACTGCATTCCCTAACAGCACAATTTAATAGCACATTAAAAATCCTTTCCAAGTTCAATGAAAAGCAGGAAATCTCCCTTAGTCCAATGCATTCTATGGCACAAACAACCCTGAGTTTTGTGACTTGCAAAAATGAGGATGACAGGTTCCAGACCGGAAAGGAAAAAGAAAAACTATCTCTATTGACAGAACTAACAAATGAGTTCAACAAGGTTAGAGGTATAAGATCAATATACAAAAATCAATTGTATTTAAATACACTAGCAATGAACAATCTGGAAATGAAATTAAGAAAAGAATTCCATTTATGATAGGATGAAAGTGAATAAAATACTTAGGAGTAAATTCAACTAAGCAAGTATAGAATCTGTACTTAGAAAACTAAAAAACACTGTTGAAAGAAATTAAAGAGGACCAAAATAAACAGGAAAGTATCCCAAGATATTGTTAAAATGGTATGGTAGACAGAATAATGCCCCCCAAATAAGCTACATCCTGATTCCCCAAACTTAGCAAAAGAGACTTTGTAGATGTGATTAAATTAAGGTTCTGGAGATGTAGAGATTGTCCGGACTATCTGAATGGGCCCAATGTAACCACAAGGTCCTTGTAAGAGGGAGGCAAGAGGCTTAAAGCCAGAGATTGGAAATGTGACAATGAAAGCAGAGGTTGGAGTGACATGACAGGAAAATGGAGGAGGGAGCCAGGAGCCACAAAATATAGGTGTGGTTTCTGGAAGATGGAAAAAGGCATGGAAAGAGAGTTTCCCCTGGAGCCTCCAAATGGAACAAAGCTCTGCTGACAATTTGATTTTTGCACAGAAAGACCGATCTCAGAGTTTTGACTTCCAAAACTGTAAGACATTAAATACGTTTGGTTTTAAGCCGCAGAATGTGTGGTTCTTGTTACAGTAGCAACAGAAAACTAATACAAATGGCGATATTGATTTGTACAAATTAATCTACAGATTCAATTCAATCCCTATCAAAATCCCAGCTGGCTTTTTTTGCAAAAGTGGACAAGCTGATTCAAAAATTCATACAGAAACTCAAGGGAACCAAATAGCCAAAACAATCTTGAAAAAGAATAACAAGAATAATCAAAACAATATGGTACTGGTACTGGCATTAAAACAGACATACAGGCCAATGGAACTGGATCAAAAGCCCAGAAATAAATCCATGGTCAACTAATATTTAACAAGGGAGCCAAGAATACTCAATGGGAAAAGGATAGTTTCCTCAATAAATTGTACTGGGAAAACTGGATATCCACACGCAAAAGAAAAACTGGGATCCCCACCTTAACACCACTCACAAAAATTAACTCAAGATGGATTAAGTTTAAGACCTAAACTATAAAACTCCTAAAAGAAAATACAAGGGAAAAACTCCTTGATCTGGGTCTTGGCAATAATTTTTTGAATATGACACCAAAAGCACAAGCAACAAAAGCAAAAATAAACAAGGAGGACTACATCAAACCAAAAAAACCAAAAAACCAAAAAAAACTTCTGTACAGCAGAAGAAATAATCAACAAATTGAAAAGGCAACCTATGGAATGGGAGAAAATATTTGCAAACCCTATATTGGATAAGAGGTCAATATCCAAAATGTGTAAGGAACTCATACAACTCAATGGCAAAAATATAAACAATCCAATTTAAAAAATGCATGGAGGACTTGAATAAACATTTTTCCAAAGAAGACATAGAAATGGCCAACAAGTACATGAAAAGGTGTTCAACATCATCAGGGAAATGCAAATCAAAACAAAGAGATATCACCTCCTACCTATTAGAATGGCTACTATCAAAATATGAGATAATAAGTGCTCTCCAGGATGTGGAGAATGGGGAACTCTGGTGCATTGTTGGTACGAATGTAAATTGGTACAGCCACTATAGGAAAACAGTATGGCAGTTCCTCAACAAAAATGAACTACCACATGACTCAGCAATTCCAATTCTCGATATATATTCAAAGGAGTGAAATCACTATCTCAAAGAGGTATCAGCACTCCCATGTTCATGGCAGCATTATTTATAATGCCAAAACATGGAAATAACCTAAGTGTCCATCAAGGGATGAATGGATAAAGAAAATGTGGGGTGTGTGTGTGTGTGTGTGTGTGTGTATACATATACATATATATAATGAAATATTATTCAGTTATATAAAAGAAGGAAATCCTGCCATCTGTGATCACATGGATGGACCTTGAGGGCATTATGCTAAGTGAAATAAGTCAGACAGAAAAAGACAAATACTGTGTGATTTCATTTATATACGGTCTCTAAAAACATCAGACTCATAGAAGCAGAGAATAGAATGATGGTTGCCAAAGGCTGAGTGGTGGAAGAAAAGGAGATATGTTAGCCAAACTTTTAATTATAAGATGAATAAGTTCCAAGAATCTAATGTACAGCATGATGACTATAGTCAGTAATACTGTACTATATACTTGAAAGTTGCTATGAAAGTAGAGCTTTAAGGTTCTCACCACTATCACAACAAAATCGTAATTATGTGTGGTGAAGGATGTGTTAATTACGTGGAGAAAAAAAGCTTCACAATATAGATGCATATCACATCATCACACTGTATACCCTAAACTTACATATATGTACACATCAATTATCTCCATAAAACTGGAAAAGGAAAAAGAAATAAAATGACAAAGTTCACAACTCATACTTTCCAATTTCAAAGTTTACTAGAGAGCAACAGAAATCAGGAGGGTGTGTTACTGACATAAGGACAGACATACAGATCAATGGAAAAGAATTGAGAATCCAGAAATAAGTATAATTAATTTTCAACAAGAATGCCAAGACCATTCAATGAGGGAAGAACAGTCGTTTATACAAATAATGCTGTGACAACTGAATAGCCACGTGCACAAGAATAAGGTTGGAGACCTTTCTGTCACTATACACAAAAATCAACTCAAAATTGAATATAGAAATAAGTAGAAGAGCTAAAACTATAAAACTCATAGAAGAAAACATAGGAGTAAATCTCCATGTTCCTGTGCTAGCAATGATTTCTTAGAAATGTTATAAAAAAAAAAGCAACAAAGGAAAGATAAACTGTACTTCATCAAAATTAAAAACTTTTGTGCTTCCAAGGATATACTGACAAAGTGAAAATACAACCTACAAAGTGGAAGAGTAGGTTTGCAAATCATGTATCTGATAAAAGACTACTATCTAGAATAAATAAATAACTCTTTTACAACTCAATAAAAAGACAACCCAATTTAAAAATGGGCAAAGGATCTGAATAGTTATTTCTCCAAAGAAGATATGCAAATGACCAACAAGCACAAGAAAAGATGCTCAACACCATTAGCCATCAGAGAAATGCAAATCAGAATCAACCACAATGAGATACTGCTTCACTCCCACCAGCATGGCAATAATAAAAAAAGATAGATAAGTGCTGACAAGGATGTATAGAAATTGAAACCCTTATACATTGCTGGTGGGATTATAAATGGTATAGCCACTTTAGAAAATACTTTGGCAGTTACTCAAAAAGTTAAACATAGTTATCATATGACCCAACAATTTTATTCCCAAAAGAAATGAAAATGCATGTCCATACAAAAGTCTGTTCATGACAGCATTATTCATAACCAAGAGCGAAACAACTCAAAAGTCCGACAACTAACAAACAAATAAACAAAATGTAGTATATCCATACAAAGGAATATTATTCAGCCATAAAAAAGAATGGAGTACTGATGCATGCTACATCACAGATGAACCTTGAAAACATTATGCTAAGTGAAAGAAGCCAGTCACAAAAGATAACATAAGATTCCATTTATTTGAAATGTCCAGAATAGGTATAGAGACAGAAATTAGTGGTTGCTTAGGGATAGAGGGGATGGTAGGATTGGGGAGTGATATTAAAGGGTACAGTGTTTCTTTTGAGATGATAAAAATGTTCTAAAATTGACTATGGTGATAGCTGCCCATATCTGTGAATACACTAAAAACCATTTAATTGTACACTTTCAATGGGTGAGTTGTGTGGTATGTAAATCATATCTTACTAAAAATATTAAGAAAAAGCAAGCAAGCAAGCCAGCCAGCCTAAGAGAGCCCCCAGTTCCAAAATACTAAGTCTCTTCAGGGACACTGCTGACACGCTCATCTTCAAGGACTTATCAAGCAGCGTTGGTCTCAAAGCAGAAGGAAGGTTCCTTACTAAAACCTCCCAGTAATGCTAACTTGTCTTGGTAGTTTGCTAAATGACATAATTATCACACAGCTATATGACTGCAGTAAATTAAAATCCAACTCCTTAATTTTTCAATTCTAATCTCTAAGTGAATAAGCAATGGGGAGTAGGTGCTAAAAAGTTCTAAAATAAAGTTCTAAATAAAACTATATCTAAATAATAGAAATAAAACCATAAGATTTTAGTTAACTGACTTTTTTTGTTGCTAATTATCCTGATGATATATTAATAATATTTGCAAGGGACAACAAAGAGGTGACAATCTACAAAGCTCTGCAATTAGCACCCACATAATGTATCAAAAAACATTAATAAAGCAAGTTCAATTAGGTTATATTTTATCTTTAAGCCACAAATAATAGACCTGCTTTTAATGTCACATAATGTGCTACCTTAGCAACATATGGCATTCATGAAACAAAGGAGATTTACCAACACAAAGAAAAGTGACATCAGGAAGTAGATGACATTTAACATTGAGGTTATCACTGGGACAGCCCTTGATACTCCCTTGCCCAATGTCGGCAGTAAATGAACAAGTACACTGGCCAAGTCCTAAAAAGGGCATGATAACCAGGCTCAGACTCCTCAGTCATGACAGTCACCCCATCCAGTAAGCCTTCTAGACAAGTAGAGATTCTGGCCAAGAATCTAGACTAGAGATTAGAGGAGGGAGACAGTGAATACCAGTTGTGATTACGAGCTGTAGTGGCAGAAGCGGTAATTCGCCAACTAATCTTACTCTTGTAAATTCCCCAGATTTTTTAAGAGACCAAACAGAATGCTGGAGAAGTTGTTCCTATATAGGGTGAAATTACTATATGAAATGAACCCAAGAGGCACAAGGAGTACAGTGACTAGATATTCCCTTCAGGACCAAGGCATTCATTTCTCTAACTTCAGAAGAGTTGGCTGCTAGCAGCTCACAGCCAAGTCCTCTTCCACAAACTGCCCTCAATCAAAGTATTATGGGTGTGTTCTCTGAAAACAGAAACTGAAATTGGATTTGGGATGCAAGATACTCATTAAAAATCAACACCTGTAAAGGACAGGCAGCAGAAGCAGGACTGAGAAGAGAAAGAAGTCAAACTGTGATGCAGGCCTGACAAGCAGATACGGTTCTCTGCAGCAAGTGTTACCTGTCAAGAGTTCCATCTTGGGCCAAAAGAGCTGAGTTTTATACCACCATCTTGCTCAGCCATTTGCAAGCTGCCCCTAGAAAACTGTGACCTCAGGTGAAGCAGTTCTCTGTAGCTGAAGCAGACAGACCCTGAACCAGTTGGCAGTTGGAAGCCATTTGCTGAAAGCACTTTCTGCAGCTGAGAAGGTGAACTCTGCAGTTACATCTCTATCACAGAAAGAAACTGCCTACCCAAGGTCAGCCCACATCTAATTCCAGATAGCTCAAGTGTCATCCTAGCTCCAGAGTTCCCAAAAGGATTGACTAAAGTCTCTGTTGCAACTGCATCAGTTCAATCTCTCTGCCCTCCTAATCTTGCTTCCCTCACTCCATTACAAATGTCGTTCCTCAATAAACCTGCAAGCATATCTCCATCCCAGAGTCTATTTCCCAGGGAACATAACCTAAAAAAATTGATTGCATAGGAAGATTCAATAAAATAGTTATGACCTACTCTATTCAGTAACTTCCTAAGACAGTACTTTATTTCAGCTAGTACAAATCATTAAAACTTTACTGTCTATGGCACAGTAGTGTCAAGCTGTCATTCTGTTGAAACAAACAAAGGAACTTTTACAGCAGTATTTAGATAAGCAGCAAAACAGGATAAATACACCAGAGATGGCAAAACTGAAATATTTTACTAATAGAAACAGCAAATAATTGAGCGGTGTTAACCTTTAAGTAAATAAAGTAACTATTCTAATCATAACCTGAAAATGGGTAGAATAAAAAAATTAATGAATCCCCACAATCCCTTGCACCCTTCCTTTCCAACCCGGGACGGCAGAATGGCTCCCACAAAGAAGGGTGGCGAGAAGAAGAGCCAGTCTGCCATCAACGAGGTGGTGACCAGAGAATAAACTATCAACATTCACAAGTGCATACATGGAGTGGGTTTCAAGAAGCGTATGCCTCGGGTACTCAAATAAATCTGGAAATTTGCCATGAAAAAGATGGGAATTCCAGATGTGCGCATTGACACCAGGCTCAACCAAGCAGTCTGGGTCACAGGAAAAAGGAACATCCCGTATCGAATCCATGTGCGACTGTCCAGAAAACGTAATGAAGATGAAGATTCACCAGACAAGCTCTATATATTGCTTACCTATGTACCTGTCACCGCTTTCAAAAATCTACAGACAGTTAATGTGAATGAGAACTGCTGACTGTCTATAAATAAAGTTCTAGAACTGCCAAAAAAAAAAAATTTAACGAATCACATCTACCCATATTACATATATCAAGACTCAAAGGCAACAAAGGAACTTATTGCAGAATTTTTACCAAATAAAGCAGATTCTTCTACATAAATTAGCGATTCCTGAACTTTTTGAGTCATGGTCCTTTTGAATTTCAAATGAAAGTTACAGACTATCTTATCTGAAATGTTCATGTGCATTTGTAAAATCTAAAAATAATTTCAGGAGTTTGTGGATCCCAGAAAGTCATTTTACAGGTGCCAGGTTAAGAACTCCTTACTCCTAAATCATGTTTATAAAGGTAAAGTGACATCTCTCCAACCCACGTTAACTTAAAAGACAAAAGAAGCTGAACAGAAATGCAGCTGAATAAACCATCTAGTCTTTAATTTATTTTAATTATATTATTATACAAGAAATACATAAGTTTTCACTATTAAATAATTCACACAATACAGATTAAATTAAATTTCCTCTTGGTCACCACCCATTCCCCTTTCTCTTCACAGAGATTATCAGTTTGATGTAAATCCTCCTAGACTTTTTCAATGCTTTTTCAAAAATGTATGTATCTATTACAATGTAGAGAATTATTCTGGATAAACTATGTTAAGAACTAGCATTTTAAAATAACATAGTGATAGATACTAGTGATTTTCCTAATATCAGCAAATTGTCGCGTTACTGAGATTAATGAAATTTTCATACAACTCTTTCCTAAAACCAGTCTATCCATTTAATTGAACTTGACCCACAAATTCCAAATCTGGTTTGGAAAAAGCTAGTGTACAAATCAATCAATAAATCAATTCAACCAACATCTACTAAGCACATTCTATGTAAATCACTGTGCTAATGCTACAGAATAGTGGATCCCAAACATTTAAATCTGGAGAGCTTGTCAAAGACATAGATTCCCAAGCCTCATTCCAATCTTAGTTAACCAGAATTTCCAAAGGTGGAGCCCTAGAATCTATCTTATCAAAGCTCCTTAAGTGACTTGAGCAAAGTATAAAGCAGCAGTGCTAGGAATCACTATTATGAAAATCATAGAAATGAGTGAGACAATGTTTTCAATTCATTTCTACAAAGACCTCTTTAAAGTCCATTATGAAACCTGACAGGTATTGTGCTGGATGCTGAATATATTACAGGACACAGTCCTTGCCCTGGAAGTGCATATAGACTGGAAGCAAAGATAATATCTAATAACAAAAATGATAACACAAGCTGAAAGTAGAAAATGCTATCTGTCCTCTCACTAAAATGAATGCTCCATGAAAAGAGGAACTTTGTTTTACTCACTGCCACATCTCCAGTGGCTAGGCCACAACCTAACACATAACAGGTACTCAATAAACAACTGCTGAATAATGCATAGGATTAAAATAGAAGAAAAGTTTGATTTCAACTAAGTACATAAGGAAATGGCACTTTTAAGAATAGATGCATGGACTGTTAAGAGGCAGAAAAGGTTAAAAGAAAGAAAACTAATATTCACAGTACCCTTACAATGTGTAAGAAATTCCAAGTTGTCTTTGAATACATTATCTCATTTAACTACCATTCTGAGATGGTATTGTGTCTCCGTTTCAGAGATGAAGAAATTGAGGCACAAAGAGGTTAAGTAACTTCTCATTCAAGGTTACAGAGCAAGAAAGCAGCAGAACTGAGATTTGAACCCCAGTGTCCAAAAATAAGGCTTAGAAATTTGGATCTCGTTTTCTAAGAAACAGAATATCTTTGAAGGTTTTCTTTTTTCTATTTGGAAATCTGCTTTTTTAATAATAGCTTTATTGTGATATAATTCATACATCATAAAACTCACCATTTAAAGTGTATAATTCAGTGGTATTTAGTGTATTCACAGATTTGTACAATCATCACCATTATCTAATTTTAAAATATTTCATCACCCCAAAAGGAAACTCCATACACATTAGCAATTGCTTCCCCTATTTCCAGGTTCTGGAAACCAGTAATCTACTTTCTGTCTTAAAGATTTGCCTATTCTGAACATTTCATATAAGTCATATCATATGATATATAACTCTTATTTTAACACATTTTTTCCTTGTGGTAAAATATAATTAAGATTTACTATTTAACTGTTTTAAGTGTACAGTTCACTGGCATTAAGTACATTCACACTGCTGTGCAACCATCTCCACTATCCATCTCTAGAACTTTTTCATTATCCCATAATAAAACTCTGTGCATCCATTAAATAACTTACCATTCCTCTCTCCTCGCAGCCTCTGGTAACCTCTATTTTACTTTCTCTCTCTATGAATTTGCCTATTTTAGGTAGCTCTTATAAGTGGAATCATAAAATTGTTCCCTTTTGTGTCTGGCTTATTTCACTTAGCATCATGTCTTCAAAGTTTATCCATGCTGTAGCATGTATCATGATTTCCTTCCTCTTTAGGGCTGAATAATATTCCATTGCATGTGTATACCAAATTTGATTATCTGTTCATCTGTC